ATATATATATATATATATATATATATATATATATATATATATATATATATACACATCTATATATGTATAAAAGTATGTACATACATATATATATATATATATTATATATGTGTGTGTCTGTATCAACTTTTTCGATAAAGAGTAGATAACTGAATGTAATCGACACGCATCGGTTTTCCCCGAAAGCGTGGCTTATTCCTAATTTAAAAAATAAACGTAATGTGTATGTTATTGATTTTGCGCGGTTCGACATCCTTGGGTCGTCAATACATTCGTAATGCAATACAAGTCTGTGATCGGAAGAAAATTTAAATTAGTAAATGGGTTGTCAATGCCTATTATTTTTAATATATTGAAACCTAATTAGTTTTTTGATGCACCGGCATTCATTTCAACATTAGATGGCGTTGATAAAATTTAAAATGTTAAATTATTCTGATAAAATTTTTAATCAAAACAAAATATAATTAATAATTTTATAATATTTAGCTTTTCTGAAAGTTTATGAATATACAATAAAAAATCCAATAAATAAATAATGTTGAGAGTCTTATTAAATAAATAAATCAAATAAATAAATAATGTTGAGAGTCTTATTAAATAAATAAATCAAATAAATAAATCAAATAGGAAGATTTACTTTTAAAATTTCAGTTCAGGATGAAACTGCTGCAGCTGAAGGAAGCTTTATACCTACGGAAATACCGTAAACCCTTCAATTGTTCTCAATCGAACAATCACCTCAGTTTCTGCTAGGTCGTTCCGCCGAATTTTACTTTGCACGGACACTAGGAACTACGGAAAATTGTAGACTTTAAAAGAACGCCGCAATTTTAAGTTTTATTTCTTTATTTATAATTGCTAGAAATACGAATTATCGAGACTGTATTACATATCTTGTATAGAGGTACACACCTTTGTGTAAAATAAATGAAAATTTATACGGTATACGCGTAACAGTCTATTCATAAATATAAAATACATATATTATGAAGATCTTGTACACAAAAAGGGGAAATAATCATAATTACATACAACATCATCATTTTTACATACAACAACGTTCCGTTGTTTTAAAAGAGATATATATATATACGCACTTATGTAATACGAATTTTAAAAGATAAACCTGTCTCATGTATTACACAAAAGTTACAATATACAAAAAGATGTAATACATCTTCAGGAATGGATAAAAGCAATAGAATACCGCGCGGAATGAACTAGAACCACTGAACGACTTAAAAAGATAACTAATTCATTTTTTAATTCGTATCTGATTTAGTTCTGACTCGTCGGAGCGTCTGCAGTGGTTTGCGTTAACTAAAGATCGCAGTTTATTATAATTGCATTCATAATAATACTCTTCTTAGTAAAGTAGATACAATAAACATTATTTTCTCCTATAATCAAAAATAATAACTTTTTTATGCCATAGATTTCAGTCAACAAAATTTTGTACTACATCCATCTTTTATTATATGTCAATGAAATCTAGCACTTCAATAGATATTTTGCTGTAGCATACATATGTTACACTTCTATGTGTAACTAGATTTATCCATATTCGATAGATAAGAGATAGATAATCATCAGAACTTTTTACCTCTTAGTAGACTGCAATTCCATAATTAGAATTATTCAAATAACTTCTGATGAATATCATCTAGGAAATTGGTTGGACAAATCGAAATAGATTTGCAAAGATAAAAAATTATATGCATTGCTATTATATAAACATACTTTGAGGTGAGATTTCATTCAACTTGCTCAACCGTAATCAATGCTAAGTGCGGTAAGTCCCTTCTTCTTAATGGCTTCTGCCACGGCCCTTTCCAAGAAGTTTTCTTGTTGGTCGTTATCATCTGCTTTTTCTAAATCCCAGTCGTGTTTAATATATTCTTCGGTGCTGTTCGAATTATTTAATCTTATTGAGTTCGTAGACGTAGTAGCAATGGAGCTTCCACGATTTTCAATGTTTTCAACACCATTAGACGAACAAGAATAATGCGCATCTGTGAATTCATTGTTGGTCCAATATTCAGAAGTATTATGGCTGTAAGAAGCATTGGACTGAGATACAAAGTCTCCGGACTGAACTAAACCGTGATTACGAATTGCCATTAGAACTGCAGTGTCTTCCATGTCGTTTTCTCTAATCCATTGAAATCTGGATTCGTCCAAAGGATAAGAAGGCGGCGCTCCCATAATATAATTTTCTAATACTTTGTTGATAGTATTATCCAGAAATCCCTTGGCCACTTGACACATTTGCCATTTCTTTAATTTTTCATATTGAACGTGTTCGGGATCTTCTATTGTTTCTTCTTTTGTATCCGAATTTTTATTCTAAAAATATATTCAAACTAATAGTTTCTTCTAAAATAATATGAGTGTATGAGTAAATTTTTATACATTAAACAATTAAAGGAAATGATATTCACATGAATTAACAATTAAAATTTAATGAAATTGTTATGATAATAATTTCAATTATGTTGTATAATTACCTCTTCCCAGACAGTCTCATTAACTTTAATTAATCGTGTGCACTGTCGTTTTGATGGAGCAGGTCTTTCATGATCATCAGTGTCAGATTCTTCAATGTCGGTCGCCATTTTTTAGATTTTCTGTGTAAGTATGCTTCAAACTTAAATTCTTTTTCAAAACGACGTAAAATATGTTATACAGATTTCACGAAAATATTAATCCGTAAACGTTAACAGATAATTATACGTTTCGCCGTCAGAACTAGTTATGTTTTCAGCTCTTTTCGACATTTTTCTTGGAACAACATTAAATACTCACTACAGATTGGAAATTAGATCTTAAAGTGTTTAACATTGAAAATTACGATCATTTCTTGTTATTCAACTATCGTAAAACAGAAAAAGTGAACAGTAATCAACGGTAATTGTTAGAATACGTAAAAAGCATACTGCACATACAATCAAACAGCAAGAATCGCTTTTGACAGCTTCAACATGGCTACTTCGCCAATGGATTCGGCACCGAAGAGGAAAATGCGTGTATTTTTTAGAAATTTAAAAAGATGTTGATGCGAACACAGAATTTCGAAAAAATATAAACGGGAGCACTACGTACAAGAATGTATGCGAATCGTATATGTTAAAAATTTCTTTGATTTCGAAAATATATTCGTCCCGGACGATGTCCCGACTGCGGTATTATATTTCAAAATGGCGTAAACATGTGTTCGCAGTGTCCGAGAGAGCTTTGACGTCCGTTCTGTCAAGCGCATCGTTTTTTCAACTATTTTAAACGAATTCACTTCGACATATTTGTTCGCTAGCTTAACTGGCATGGCAGTCTGTGGCGAATACATTCGCAGTCAGTTTCCAACGATAGATGATGATTTGTATCAATATGTGGAAGGTATGTAAGAAAGAATCTAACCTACAAATTATAAAACTACTTTGTAATACTAAAGTTAAATATACAATATTTCGTCGTATAAAGGTATCTTAGACAGCTCGAAAGATGATTTCGAAGATGCCGATGAAGTGTACGAAGCAATCGGAGAAGTGTTGCACGAAGTCGCGGAGAAACCAGAGAATGAGGTTAGGTCTGTAAACGTGTTCACATTTGTCATCTTTTATCTTGTTATATCGAGTATATCTAGGCGTAGTCAATATTTATGCATTCATAGTAAAGTTAATTGTTTTAAATTTCATATACCGGATTTACTTAATTGAATTCGTTGAAAGTTTTGTCGTACTTCAATAAATAGATAAACCCCTAAAGGTAAAACTTCTATTTGATTACTTTCAGTCTTTAAATACCTATATCTGCATAAATATTTGCAGATTAGTTATATCATACGAATGTTATTACATAAATACATTGTCATTAATGTGTTGTCAACTATATTTATTACTTAATATTATCTTTATATATTTTTTGTTCTTATAATTTAGAATCTGGAATCTTTTTATATATAGGCAAATATGCGTCAAGTTATTGGAAATATTGAAAGGTGGTTCGAATGATGAGAACGTTGAAAGGAGGAAAAATGGGGTGAATAAAGTATTAAATGCGCCTGTCCATTTGGGTACTATGGCTGCTACTTTAGAGGCTCAAGTAGAACAAATTAAAAGTATATGGGTTACTACTAGAGACGATGCTATGGTGAGTAGTAAATTATTATTTATTAACCCTTAACGGATATATGTCACCTTCCATATGACATTATAGTTTTCATTATAATTGGCATTTATTATCTCTTAAGTGACATAACAGCGTTTACCACATTGGATATATGTTACATGGAAGGTAACAAAATCAAACAATTAAAACTTAAATATTTAAATGTTAATGAAAAAAATTAAGATATATGTTTTTGTGCAATAAAATGTCTTTTCATTTGTGATATACATATCACCAGTGCAATATTTTACATGTAAGTACCAGGTAAGATCACAACCTAGGAACGAATCACAGCTAAACTGCTGATGTCCGATAAGGGTTAAATTAGAGATGACAAATGTTCTGTTCCTATGTCATTGTGTTAGTATTATTTATTAGAAAGTAGATGCAAAAAAGTTGGAAAAAGCAGAAGCAAAATTACAACAGAAGCAAGAGAAGCGAGTTAATAATGAATCAACTGGACGTATTAATAATGTAAATCAAGGTATAGAATCGGCAAGTGCAAGTCAGATGACAAGCAAAAAGGATAGTCGTATGGAAACTAAAGGCGGTGTAAATAAAACTCAAGATATTAGGATAGAGAATTTCGATGTAGCATACGGAGACAGAATTTTATTACAAGGAGCAGATTTAACCCTTGCATTTGGTAGACGCTACGGTCTTATTGGTAGAAATGGTCTCGGTAAAACAACTTTGTTGAGAATGATATCTAGGTACTAAAAACAAAATTATTTAGATAATAAACTGTTTATAATTGTTTCCTACATTATTATTTTCTTTCAATCATAGCAAGCAGTTAAGAATACCATCTCACATACGAGTGTTACATGTAGAACAAGAAGTTGCTGGTGACGATACATCTGCTTTGAATTCTGTACTACAATGTGATCAGGAGCGAAGTATGTTGCTTAGCAGGGAAACAGAATTGCAGGTAGCAATCGAAAAAGATGGTGGGAAAGCAGGAGACGCGTTAGGTGAAGAATTAGCCAGAGTATATGAAGCGATGCAACTGGCTGAAGTGGATAAAGCTCCTGCTAAAGCCAGCGCCATTTTATCGGGTCTTGGGTTTTCGGTTGAAAGACAATCGTGGCCAACTAAGGCTTTCTCAGGTGGTTGGAGGATGAGATTAGCTCTTGCAAGAGCATTGTTTTCTAGGCCAGATCTTTTGTTACTCGATGAACCTACAAACATGCTTGACATCAAAGCAATTCTTTGGTTGGAAAAATATTTGCAATCGTGGCCAACTACATTGCTGGTTGTTTCACACGATCGAAACTTTTTGGATACGGTATGTTACCAAATATATATTATTTTGCAAAGAACACAATAAATTATATATTTTATATTAGGTACCCACCGATATACTATATTTACGCGGGCAGAAAATAGAGGCTTATCGAGGCAACTATGAACAATTCTCGAAAACCAAAGGAGAACGTGAAAGAAATCAGCAAAGAGAATACGAGGCTCAACAAGCCAAAAGAGCTCATGTGCAAGAGTTTATCGACCGATTTCGATACAATGCTAATCGTGCTTCTAGCGTACAGAGTAAAATAAAGATGTTGGAAAAGCTGTGAGTTTGATACTATTTGGTAAGAAGTATTGGGTTGATGAAAAAATTTCGACGTTTTTTTTATGAGAAATAAGAAGAGTTCTCAACTGTTCGTTAGCTAAACCAAAACTAAGTAAAAACGAAGAAAGGTGTCCTTTATATACGTTATAATAGTTTAAAAACAGATATTATTTGTTTTAAAGAAAGATTTTTGTTGTTAACCACGTACAAGAAGTAATTGCCAATTTAAATTTATAGATAAGATGAATTGAATTCATCATCTTATCTATAAATTCACTTGAAGAGAATTAATTGCCAATAGTTCAATGGATTTTATTAATTTAAATAAGGTTGTATAGTATTTTAGGAAAAGATTTATATATATATGAATCAATAATTACACAATTTATTTGAAGTAGCATTTAAGGAGGATTTATACTGGTTAAGATAAATTTTGTTTAAAATTATATAGTTATAATAATATTTTTGACAACGCCAAAATTCTTGCATCGACCCAGTAGAAAGAATTTTGAACGTAATTATAAAATTGATATTACTGTTAATAGGCCGGAATTGAAACCAATGGAGAAAGAGGGAGAAGTGACACTTCGGTTCCCTGACGTTGAACCGTTAAGTCCTCCTATATTGCAACTTAACGAAGTATCCTTCAGTTACACCGGAGGAAGTGAAAACGCAATATTTACCAGTGTAAATCTTACCGCTAGTTTACAATCCCGTATTTGTATCGTAGGAGAGAACGGTACAGGTAAAACGACACTTTTGAAAATAATCACAAGTTCTTTAAGTCCAACCAGAGGTACAGTGCATGTCCATCGAAATTTAAAATTTGGATACTTCAGTCAACACCACGTTGATCAGTTGGATATGCGAGTGTGCCCGGTAGAATTATTGCAAAATCATTTTCCAGGTATGAAGTATAACATTTTGCAAATCAGACGTTTTAATCTGTTACACTTTGTTCCTCTGTTGCATCTCAGGTAAACCTGTCGAGGAATATAGGAGAATGCTCGGCAGCTTCGGAATTAGTGGTAATTTAGCTTTACAAACAATCAATTCTTTGTCCGGAGGACAAAAGTCGAGAGTCGCATTTGCGTTAATGTGTGCCGCTACGCCAAACTTCTTAGTTCTTGACGAACCCACGAACCATCTCGATATTGAATCGATCGAAGCTTTAGGCAAAGCACTTAATACTTGTCAAGTAATATTTTGTTTTCAGTTTGTCTCTATCCCCATGTACTTTCACGTACTTTCCTCACGTTTGAAACGTGTATGCTAATTAATTGTAATAATATTTCAGGCCGGTGTAATACTAGTCTCGCACGACGAAAGATTAATTCGTATGGTATGCACTGAACTTTGGGTATGCGGAGAAGGTTCTGTGCGATGCATTGAAGGAGGTTTCGATGAATACCGTAAGATTATCGAGAGAGAACTCGAGATTTAAGTACCATTTCAATTTTACTGCTTCGTCATTCTTGCATTGTCTCGGGTCTAAGTTACCGATGCGAATATGTTTACTGATTTAAATAAATGCAAGGGGAGAAGAACGTTTGTAAAAAGATATTTCTTCTTTTCCCGGAACAATGCATATTCTAAGTTGTTCGTTGATGTAGATATTTATCGACCGCCGTGAAAATATATTGCCTATTTTAAAGAAAACTGAGTGCATTCATTAAAGTATAATTCATAATATATATTTCACTGTCAACAATAAAATACTATTGCGATAGACTGAGTTTGGATTCACAACAAATAGGATTAGGAAAGTATCACATTGTTTCACTGCCAGATACAATAACTACATCTAAACAAATTATGATATTTAATATTGTACATTAGTAAATAATAAAAGGTCGTTGTTATAAATAAAAGTATATAATATTCTATGTTTCTCTTATAAAAACCGTTAAAAGTTTACATTGATAAATATACACGATTAATTAGTGTATTATTATTGCAAGTTTTCATTGCCATCAGAAGTACCATACAACTGTCTTATGTAGTTTTTGTGTAAATGTACATAATTTTCAACACCGTTACGATGTCGTAATTTAATGCAGTCTTGTACCACAACAATGATTTATGAAGAAAAACAAAAAGGAAAACATCTCTCGTTCCAGCGAAACGAAATTTTCAACATATAAATTATGATTAATACTTTTAATACTTTATTTCAGCTTTTTCTTTTTTCACCTAATCTCTTCTATTTATAGTTAGCCTTTCATTTCGTTGTAGTAATGTTTCGAATGTTATTTAAACTATCTTGTAACGTAATAAATAAAACAAATTATTTGAAAATAATTAATGTGCCAGAGAAGTCGCGTTGTATCGCCACAGTTAACCCCCAGATGATGTATTTAATGGTACCATTGTATTAGATATAGAAGGCGTTTGCAGGGGTGGTGCAGGAGCTTGTTGTTTCGCAGCTGTAATTTTCAAACATGTTTATTACCTTTCTTTTTTTAAAAAAGTATAAATATTACATGTATTTTAACCGAGCGATTTATTATTTCTATAGTATGCATGCAATTAATTTTTATTATTAAAAGATCTTTAAGTTAGCTTAAATATACATATATATGCATACGTTTAACACATTCCCGATCACTGATGCAAATTTACGTCTTTTCAAATACAATAATTTCCAAAATATTTTATTCATCTGCTCCTCTCCATTTGCGACTTTTTTAACGAAAAGTTCTTCATTTCAAACACATTGTTACAAGACTAATGTGTCAAAACAAATTTGCGGCTATTAACTGAAGATTTTTTTCATTTTCACCGGCAATGAGTATTGAAAAAGCGAAAAATTTGCCGGTCACGAATGTGTTAAGATCAGCAATTTTCAATACAATACATGTCAATCATTCGTAATCTCTTGATATATTGCAATGCGTGATAAAGCAAAATGCAGATAATTTATTTAATTAAAGCATGAAATTATTATAGAACACTGTTATTCGTACAAACATGGCAATGTGTACAAATTTACAAATACAAATGTTATGTGCGTTTATTCTCAGTACTCTCACAACTCATTTCATTCAATGTAAATATAATTTCCAATGGCAGTGCTTGCAGGCAATGTGAAAAATTACATTCATATATTACACTGAAGACAAACGATAAATCATTGAAGCAGGAACATCATGCAACAATATGGTATGGTGACTCAACTTGCATTGAGTCATAAGATGAAATTAGTAAGCTTCATTTCGTATTTTTAGTAATGGAAATACGCGAAAAATGTTCATGCAAAATGAAATTTACAAAAATAATTGAGAAGTGTACAATCTAATAGTAAAATTCGAGAAAGATGACGACCAATTTCCAAATATATAATTCTCACCATTTCTGCTGCTGTAGACTTTTGGGAATCCTTTGAATGGCTCCGGTGGTGGAAAATTTGCAATAGAATGAAACATGTCTGCGAATCGTACCTCTAGGTCCAGGGTACTCATGGCTTGACCATTACGCATCGAAGAACTTCTCGTTGGAGGTGTTGGTGGTGGCGGAGGTGGTGGAGCTAGCCTTTGATGAACAGGAGCAGGACGATGTGGAAGTGGAGGAGGTGGAGGTGGTATACAAGGCGCGCTAACTGTTACCCTAGAGGGTGGTGGTGGTGCAGCTCTTGTCGCAGTAGTAGTTGAGCTATTTGCTCTGGAAGTAGGTGGAGATGGAGGTTTAGCTACTGGAGGTCTAAGGACTCGATTTGTTGGTCTTGATTGACTTTCATTCAAACAATCTTGTGACTGATGAAGAGATGGCGGAGTGGGAGTAAGCACAGGAGGTGATCTAAGCAATCGCATACTTTGTGCTCTTGACACGCTTGCTCCTGTAGTTAAGTTTAACTTTTTAGGAGGTGGCGATGGCTTGTGTACTGTAGAAGATGGCGTTGAAGGTGGTTTGGGAGCAAGAGTTGGTTTCCCAAATCCTTTGGGTACTTCTGTATTAGAATTTGCAGAGTCTGTAGTGCTCTGCCCCTGGTTTAAATTGGACTTCTAAAATGTAAATTATTAACACTTTAAGGTATATTATGGACATACAATATGGTACTTTTCAATATTTTTACCTGACCAAATACTTGTGGTTTTTGCGTAACTGGTGGTGGAACTGGAGGAGGACCTCGTTTTATACTAGGCGTTGCCACTTGATTAAAACTTGTATTATTTACATTGTTACTGTCCTTTTCACCTGAAGTCGGCCTAAGTCTTGTGGGTTTCAATTTTGGCATACCACTAGAGAATAATCCACCTAATCCTATGGGTCCTCCATTATTTGAATTACTAATACCGCTGACTACTGTATTTGAATTATTAGCTTCCCTATTATTCGAAGAAGAAGAATTTCCTGCTTCACCTCTTACTTTGCCTAAGAATAAAACACAATCAAAATCACTTTTGTAAGTAATACACACACGTATAAAATTAACATACCGCTAATCGCAGGTCCACTTTTATCTACAGTTACGGTTTTCTTTAAAGTTTTCCCAGCTCTGATCGACTGAAGTAATAAACTCCTATCTTGTTCTCCGGGGCCAGAATTGGATACATTGAAGGCAGGAGGTGGAGGAGGTGGTGGAGCAGGCATTCTTTGAATTTTTTATAAAAAATATTTGGTAATCCTAATAAAAAATATAAATCAACTGATTATATATAGATAATTCAAGAGAATACAATATGATCGTTAAAGGCTCGACTGAAATCGTGGGTGGTAAACGACACAATGGCTGATGTACATTTTGAAAGATAAGATTAGACTTCCTATAGAGGAAACTGTACAATTAGGTTAGCAGAGAAATAATTTCCACATTCGACCGGACGTTCTCCGTCCACATTAAAATGTATTATTGTCGCAACGAACGGTTTAAAAAAAAATGATGTAAAACGTTTGAATTACTTACCTAAAATTGACAACACGATTTTCTTCCTACCGCGGTACGATCTTTGAAACTACCGCAATTTGTGTCTGGTTTTGATTCAGTGTGAATGAACGGAACCCACGACATTCCAAAATTTTCCAGAACTCGGCCAATTCAAATACACTGATACTTAATACGGATGCAAGTCAATGTAGACCTGATACGTGTACAAACGATCGAGTTTATGCACATTCCGATAATAGTTGTCCGTTTGTTTATGGCATTGACGAGTCAGATTCGATTGAACATGCATACGTCGAGTGCACCTGAATACACACCACACCTGAGAGACCTTAAAATCATACAGCGAAATAAGAACGGTGTATTTCTCTTGTAACCATTTTCTAATTGGTCGTGGAAAATCATTCAGTAGCCTCGCTTTCCGTTAAAGAAACTCACATCCGTCTTTAAAAGTGTTATACATATAAATGATAAAATTAAAAAGCATGAACTCTAAAAATAAAAATTCTTTCCTAATTCGTATTTCTCATTTTATGTATAGATGTCCTGCTGTTTTTTTAATGACGCAAAAAACTCACTTTTAGGGTGTACAATAAAACAGCAAATCCATTGTTTCTAATTATTGATATATTTCTGTCTCTTTCCGAAGATGTATGTCACCTTCGTCGATAACAAGAAACGCGATAATTTATTTTCATCGTTTATTAAAAAATAAATGAAACGGTAAATAATATTGCTGATTTAAAAAAAAACTACGTATGTAAAATGTTTATAATACACGCGAAATTTAATGATTCAATTATAGGTAATAATATTTACACGTTACACTTAAAATGCATGAAAAAAGACGATAACCTGTCATTTGATGAAGCAGTCTTTTAATGAATGGTATAATTAACGTACAATAAAATGCGCGTGTAAATAGTAGAACAAAGCTTTTTGAAGATAGTTATCCAATGTTTTTGTCTACAAACAACTAAAAGCAATAATCAATCTCATAAAAATACAAAATAACCTTTTGTTTGTTTATTTTTTACGTTATACTATTTAGTGTGTATGAAAACATTAATTCAACATAACACATTATTGTCCCTAGGTGCCATAAAAATTTTGTTACAATAAGGTGAAAGACTGAACCATATCTATGAATTATAATATCAAAAACGGTTTATAAGTGTAAAATTCATTTTGTGCAAAAATTTTTACATTGATATACATTATGTACATATTTACAGATATCATTTCAATACAAAAATAGATTTTCTATGTACTATGAATTACGATAATCCCTGTAAAAAGTTTCTGCTTTCTCTCTGTTTTGTTTAATTGCAGAAAATAATTGCAATAATCTTTGCAGATTGCAAACAATTTAACGTTATGTTTATTAATAAATTTAATCTTTCTTTGACGTTGGTATCGTAACAATCAACCAACCAACTAATCAACCAACCAACCAACTAACCAACCAACCAACCGACCAACCAACGAACTACTGTTCAACTAACATATTTATCTAAATCCTCAAGGGCAGTGGAATCTTTACACTGCACGAATATTCATATTTTATTCGTTCGTCACATGATTCGTTGGTTGAGTTTTAATGTCGTCCATTTGCTCTGATATAACCATATCAGACTGGTCTGTTTCTTTATGAACAGCAATAATAATTTTTTCTTCTGTAGAAGATTGACTGTCAGATGAACCTTCCTGCGTCGAAGTAGCTGCTTCCTACAATGAATAGAAATGAAAATTAATTTTACTAGTCATAATGCGTTTGTTTTCTTCTAATACGTTCGCGAACAGTAGAAACTTTAATTAGTTGTAAAAATAGAAAAAAATTGCAAATACAGTACTCTGAAGATTAAAATGCATGCTAATGTGGCTTATAAATTTGATTGTTATAGCATTCATGTAATTTTGCATCATAATGAAAATGAATATTACATTCATGTTCGCGAACGTGTTAAAAATGAATGAATTATATTAGATTTAAAATTTTCCTTACCGTACTTCTTATTTTTGTGTGCGTTTTTATGTGTTTCGTTAAATGGTCTGATCGCATGAATTTTTTCGTACATTCAGGACATTGAAATCTTTTCTCTCCGGTATGCGTTCTACGATGCCTTTGAAGTTCGTCCGATCTAGTGAATTTCTTACCACAAAATATCCAACTACAAACAAATGGTCGTTCACCGGTGTGCCACCTCAAATGAGCCCGTAGATGACTCGTTTTCCCATATACTTTATTACATCCCTCTATGTGACAGACGTGCTGCCGTTTTCTAGTCATGTCCCTATTTCTGTGAAGGAAATATCCGATTCGTTAAAATGCACTTACAGAGTAATGGGAACATTTTCTTTCTCTTTATTCTAACGGGAAATTTAGAATAAAAAGTATCGAACATTGCTCACCTATCACCATCGCCACAATTGGGACACGTACAAGCGACTCTTCTTCTATGTTGCTTATTAGTATCACTGTCTACATTTGTAGAGGCTGCTGTAGTGACTTGATGCTGATGTGAAGTAGGCGTAGGTGTTGTCAATGCGTTATTTGATTGCAGGGTTTGAAGAATTTGCCATTTCGTTGGATCATTAGAGTCTAACTGAACCGTTGGAGCAGCCACGATAGGTGCGGCTGCTGTCGCAGGCAAAGTTTGTACGGTAGCAGGTTGAAGTGCACTTGCAGGTATAACTTGTACATTGCCCAAACCTGGGATATTTTGTACAGGTATCGATTGAAGAAAACCATTGGTTGCATTCATACCCGCGGCAGGCTGGAGTTGCATTATACTTCCGCTACCTACACCTCTCATCATATTGCCTTGCTGGGTAGTTAAATTTGCTAACGCGGAGGCAGGAATTAAAGTTAACTGTTGAGCTTGTGTTCCTGTAACAAATAAATATAATACATATCAATATTTTTGTAGAGAACAGAAGAACTAAAATGTAAAAACAATACAAGTAGAATAACAGTGTTAGTTTCAAAATGTTACTGTCGCTAGTAAAACATGCCTGTAATCGTAATAGGTTGGACAGCAGGCTGTGTTGATTGAGCAGCTGGAATATGTATAACTTGACCACTGGCTAATTGCCTGGCATCAATGCTAGTTACTTTTATATCACCTTCGACTGATTCTGGTGGTCTCGTTAAAGCTGACAACGTTTGCACATCAATTTTTTGACCATCCTTCGTGGTAATTACATTGCCACCCGCCGCTACTGGCCTTCCAAGTGCACCAATTCCAAGTACCTGCGTAAAATATGAATTTTTAAACTCATACCGTAGAATGACTTTTTTTCGCGCCTCTCTATAAGTGTGCACGTATTTGTTAGGATGAAGAAAATAAAACGTGTTTTTAAATAGCGATAGCAAGGTTAATAATCGGAGTAAACCGATTATTAGGTCAAAGTGGCTCATCTTCGAAAATAGTGGCATACGAATACAAAAACATTAACAAGTGCAATAAACTCTGAGAAGGTTGCCGTGGCCTTTCGAGTTATCAAAAAATAATGCATGAATGTTACGTATAGACGAGAGAGAACAAGAAAGCAAGTGAGAACGAATATACAGTGTATCACGTAACTGGCGGTACAAACGAGTAGGGGAAGATCCTACGTGAAAAACTGAATCGAAAATGTAAAATAAAATTTGTTCACATATAGCTTTGTTTTCGAGAAAAATAAGTTTGAAAATTTGTCGAGCACGTGTGCACGTGATCCAGTTTCAGTTCTACGGATTTCACTGTGGATCACCTTCATTCTTGTTCGTAAACGTTGTCAATGTTTATATGCACCGAATGGATCGATGATCAAGACCTCGATTTTAAAAGTACTCACTTTTCAGGAACTCGTCTAACTTATGAACTGTTGGAAGCGATGTCCACGCTGTTGCAAACATAACTGTGCTCTTCTTATCAAATTGCACCGAACGTTTTCTAATGTATCGTTATGCAATTCTAATTGTTCAAACGCTATAATAATTTTTGTGTTTTAATTGTTCAACGCTCGTTATGTTATCACTATTCACAATCGACTTGACATGACCCCACAAATAAAAATCTAAAGGTGATAAGTCCAGAGTTCGTGGCGGCCAAGGTATTTTGCCGATCCAGCAGCGATAATTCTCATTTAAAAAGCGTCTTACTTCTCAACTATATTCACAATATTTCGGAAACTAAAAACTCCGATCCATAAACATAAGAAGAAAATAGAATCAATACAAGAGATACCATTATGTTGACAACGTTTGTAAACTTTACAGGAAGCACAGAAATACTCTTCTACTCGGGGAGAGTAAGATAGCGAAATCCGTAGAACTGAAACTGGATCAAATGCACACGTACTCGAGAAATTTTCAAACTTATTTTTTTCAAACACAAAGCTTCATATGACAAAATTTTATTCTACATTTTCAATTCAGTGTTTTACGTAGAATCATCGCCTGCTCGCTTGTACTACCAATTATGGGATATCCTGTATATAAGGTGTGAAAATCAGGGCGTGCGGGATATGTGAGACGTGCGATACGATAGCGACTGCGATGATACGAGTGAGCAAGATAGTCTGTATTTTATCTTTTTGTTTTAATAAACTGATTATTAAATTTATAATCCTAGAATATACAAACTTTCTTTTTCAGTTACATCATGATCAATTATCCTATTTTCTACCTGAACATTGCTCGGAGTTGTTACAGTTGTACTCCATGTTGCTACAGTAGAGGATGGTGCTGATGATTGTTGTTGTGCTTGTTGAACTTGCTGTTGCTGTTGCTGTTGTTGTATAACTTGTTGAACAACCTGTTGCACTTGTTGTTGCTGTTGTTGTTGTACTTGGGCTTGTGCAGCTTGTTGCTGTTGCTGTTGCTGTACAGATTGTAATACCTGCGGTTGAGCTTGGTGCTGTACCACTTGCTGTTGCGCTTGTTGCTGTGCAACTTGCTGAGCCACTTGCGTTACCTGCTGGCTCTGTAACAAGAATTTTGTTTAACAAAAACGCAATGTATACTTTAAACACAGAATGTGTTGGTTTTTAGTTACCTGTAAACTTTGAAGCTGTGGCAAGTTAGCAATTTGGACTTGTTGAATTTGTCCATTTGGTGTTATTATTTGCGCTACTTGTGGTATTTGCTATAAATTTCAAATTGTAAAAATGAATGTTTACGCGATTACTAAAAAAATATGTATTCGTTTCGTACAATTTACCTGAGTAATTTGTGGTATCATTTGTGTTGTAGGCACATTAAAAACACTGGATAATGCTTGTACAGGAAAATGAACTGTTTGATATACGGTTTGTCCATTGCTAGCAGTAACTGGTACTTGTACAGGTACAGTTTGCTGAACATGTTGCATTGGAAATTGAAGTGGTCTAACTTGCACACTCTGACCTGTAATATGAACGCTATTGTGACATCTTTAAACATTTATGTCGTGTTTTATGCATACATAGTACATACCTGTTGGCAACTGTACAGTCTGACCAGTGATATTTTGTATAATAGAAGTGGGAAAGACATTGGGTGCCCTTATCAAACTGACAGGCTGAGGTGTAATAATGGTCTGACCATTCGCTAATTGCACTTGCTGACTAGCAAGTTGAACTTGTTGCCCATTAGCTGTAGCAAATTGCATTGTAGGCTGGGTCTGATGATGTCCGCCTGTCGCAGACATAGCAGAAGATGGTATAAACAGTGCCTCTTGACCGTCAATATTAACAGTTTGCATCTGTGGAATTACACTATAACTAAGCTGTTGTTGAGGCTGCTGCTGTTGAGTCTGCTGTTGTGCCTGCTGTTGCGTTTGTTGCTGTTGCTGTTGAAGTGCAGCTTGCGCTTGAGTACTAATTAACTGAGCACCCTAAGATTATTATATCTTTGCTGGTGATTACATTAGAGCGTACATAGTTGAATTATACATATTAATAGAGTATACTCACTTGCAAAAACTGTTGTGGCAACGATTGCACAGAAATCGTTTGCGGTCTTTGCTGGTCATGCTGCGGTTGCTGAGCTTGTAAAGGCACAAAATTTTGCAGCTGTTGCAACGTGATTACTTGCGGCTGCTGTTGCTGTTGCGCTTGTTGTTGAACATCTTGTTGTTGTTGTAACTGCTGTAGTACGTTTGTACTCAAAAAACGAATCTGTGGTTGGGCCGTTTGCTGTTCCATTTGCTGTTGCTGTTGCTCAACATCGTCTTGCTGCTGTTGCACCTGCAGCGGGTCATGATCTTCGATCTCCTCCTGTCAATTAATTTTCCCCTTCGTTTACCTCTGTCCATTCATTTTTCTCATAATCTATTTTTACCTGGCTAATGTTTCTCCCATCCAAGCTACGCTTCATATTGAAAATATTCGTCGTGTATATTTCCCTTAACGAAAACAACGTCTACGTCAACGCTAATTTTACGTTGAACACTCTTCTGCTAGGAATTCATTCTTCGCTGGACCAAATTGGGCCGACTATTTAGTCCGCGGTACATGGAAACGCTCGCTCCACGAGCGCTTGATCTGAAAATTCATCTTCCTCTTAAAAATATTCTACGGGTACTCGTCCACTTAAGCGAAATAGCATATCAGGGGATCCGTTTCCTGTTTCTCGGATCAAGGAGAAACGCGTCTCACGCGAGCCTCATTCCGAATCGGCGGCATTAAGGGAAGACGCTGTGGATGTCAACGAAACACCTACGGGGCGTAATCTTAAGAAGCTTCACCGACTGAAACTATATCGACACGTGCAAAGACCACACTCCGAAGACAAAGAAGGCTAGAGAGCACTCCTC